ATGTTATTTTGGCTTGATGGTGACTTTCCATTTAAGAGTGCTCTTTTATCGACCTCCCTCGCCGCCTGTCTCCATCCTCCTCCTGTTCCACTTGATGCTCCGGCTCCAGCTCACTGTAGTGTCACTCCTGGTGAGCCTCCTCTCCCTTCAGCAAACTCGTTCACTTTATTGGGGTCCCTTCCTCACCCCCACTCTCTGAGCTTCCCAGATGCTAGACAGGTCTTTTCAATTCCAAAATATTGTTTCTGAGCCTGGACCCTGATGGTTACCTAATTTTATTTTCTTCATTAAATCCCTATGCGTTTTATTTTTAAAATCTCTTCAGGTTTTTTTTTCTTCTTTCTAATTGGATTTCCAGTTTCATGTTTCCTGTCCAGAATACATTTGGCAGAGGGTTTTCTTCATTTCTTTATTTTTCTTTCATACTGAGTTGCATTGGCAAAGCTTTTCAGCCCGGCTTTGGCCTTCAGCTGGGTAACCGAGGCAGAGTTTAAGGCAGTGAGTTGGAGGGCAGGTGGAAGGAGTTCAAGGCCACGCTCAGGTCTGAACTTAATCATCAGAATCTCATCTGTAAAATGGAAATAATGATATTTCCAGGCCTGCTATCTCAAATGAGATAAAATGATGTAAAGACACTGCAATTGTTTCCTGCTTGGGGGATTTGAGTCTTTGTGGAACTTTTATTTCCATAAAGAAAGAGGCACCTTCTTGCCCATAGTACAAGGGCAAAATAAAATGATATAAAATGTTAGCTTAAGCATCAGAAGCTTTAGAATTTTATGACATTCTTCAAGAGGTTCGAATTAACCTCTTGTTAATACCTTGGTGGGGTCCTCCCAGTGGTGCAAGAGGTAAAGTGCAGCACTATGAAGCTGCCTGCAGCCCCTGCAGCACAAGTTCGATCCCCAGCCAGGGAGCTGACCCACATGGCACAGCAGACCTCTCCTGTCCCGCCCACTGCTCCCCTCAGCAGTATATTTCAGTTGATCCACTTCTTCTGCTCCCTACTTTGTCTCTGGTAAATCCTCTCACCACCACCCCCAACACCTCTGGCCTGTACCCCAGTTTTGTATGTATAAATAAGAAAATATTAAAAAAAACACCTTGGTAACCCTGACACGGAGAATGTCCCTTGTATCTGTATCTCTCAGGAATAGCAACGGCCCCAAGAAAGTTGTGGAGGAAGGGCAGCATATGAAATTTTATTTGCAATATTAAAATTAAATTAGAATTAAAAGACATCTTAGGTCCTAGGATCCAGAAAGTATCATTCAAATTTCCTATATAAAGGTGGAATCTTATTTTCATCACTCACTACAGGTTGTCATCTAAGCTTCGCATGACTCCTTTTAGTCGTCGGTCCTTGCCATTAAGAGAAACAACCCCTTTCACTGCCACATACCTAGGTTTGTGCAAAGTTGCACGTATTGTTCACCCAGTGACTCCCACAAGTCCAACTCTTGCCTGGAGAATGCTTGGATGCTTGCAAATGGTTTCTGGATTACCCTTTTCTCGAGGCTAAAATTCCTATTCCTTTAATGGTTTCCCATAATTTGGATTTGCATGCTCTTCAGCATGCCAGACCACTCCATTCGCCAGTGTTCTCTGTACAACAGCACCCACTGGGTGCAGCGCTCTGGACCTGCACTCACCGTAGACAGCGCCATGTCACCAGGGAGGCTCACTTGCCTCGGGAATATGGGTGCTGCCTGAGGTTTTTGAGCACTGAATTGCAGTTTATAAAACTTAAGCAAGAACCAATCAGCTCATTTTCATGTGGATGTCAAGAACTTCCATCAACCTACTAATTTTCAGTAAGATGATAGCGGCCTTTAAGTTAAAGTATTGATAATGAATTATTGTTCTGTAGAAACCAGAGGTCTCCATTCAATGTAATTGGAACCGTGGGACTACTTAAGTTTATGATAACCCATGTGTCATGTTTATGCTAAAGACAGTTCTTTTTTATGATTATTTTTAACCTTTATTGAGTTTTTACTCTGCTCTCTCAGCATGTAAACACAGCTGAGGTTGTGTAATTGTTGCTATTTTATAGATAAGGTACCCAGGCACAGAGAGGTTTATTAATTTGTCTAAGGTCATCCAGCTAGCAAGTGGATCAGAACCTGGAAACTTGAACACCAAATGCTACACCTCCTTACCTAGCCAGGCAGTGCATAAATGGAAAATAGTCATGGTAACTGGTAATTTTTTTTGCAAAAGAAAAAATGTGAACAAGACTGTCTTAAGTTCCTCTTTCCATGTTTCCCAGTTCTTTTCCATGGAACGTTGGTACCTTACGATAAACTGGAGTCGAGGGAGTAAGAGTTCCTGTTTTTTTAAAAAATATTTATTTATTTATGCATACAAAGGAGAAGGGACGGTGAGACGCTTCACCAGAGCCAGAACGGGGAGCAGAACAGGCAGATCGTCAAAGTACACTGCTGAGGGGAGCAGCGGGCGGGTCAGGAGAGGTCTGCTGTGCCATGTGGTCACCTCCGCGGCAGGCGGGGATGGAACTCATGCTGAAGTGGCTTTAGCTTCTTAGTGCCGTGCTCTAACCCGCTGTGCCACCAGGGAGGGCCCCCTCTTTGTTTTTTGTTGTTTTTTTTTTTTCCAGAGATTGGCATCAAAGTTAGGCATCAAAGTTAGGTCTTCTGACATTTTACCAAAATTCCTTGGGGAGGGAAATTACTCATATTTCTAAATCTTTGTTCTCTCTTGTTCAATTTAGATAACTTCTATTGATCAAAATTCAAATTCATGACTCTTAGGAATCTCTATTCTGTTATTAAATATGTCGTGTATATGTCTCTTGCGATTTTTCTGTTCTAAAATTTCTTTTTGTTGTATTTTGACTTATTTCCA